TAGGTGACCGCTGGGCCCTAACCGCCGCCCATTGTCTTAGAGGGTAGGTTTGTTTTATTATGTTTTAATAATAAATCATTATAATTACAATGGTTTATTGTATAAGTTGTGTCGCCACCTAAGTTAAGTTTGTATATAACAATTAAATACAGTGTACTATTTTAAAACTTATTTTAGTTTTTAACGCTTATTAGTAATAAACTCTGATTTAATATTCATTGGTTTAAATTTTTTATTTTAAAAACTATACTTAATGTGTGCCTGGTTATTTAAATATTCTACAGGGTTGATCCAACAAAGCTCGTGCTACGATGCGGTACTTTATTATACGCTACGCCAGGAGTTGACTACACTGTAAACCGGGTTATTATACACGACCGGTACGACCAGTACGGAGACAATGATATAGCCCTGATCGGGATAAACGGGCAATTGCAGCTTGGTACTCGCGATATGGACCGTATCCGATTGCCGGCACAGGGCAGTGACGTGCCACCAGTGTCAATGGTAACGGTAGTTGGTTGGGGTTACCTTGATTATTTTGGCACAGATCTGGCCCACACATTGCAAACGGTAGACGTGCCAGTTGTCGATCGGCAAAGATGCACCTCAGAGTACGAGGATTATAACGTGGTCACAAATAACATGATGTGCGCCGGTTTGGATCAGGGTGGTAAAGATGCTTGCCAGGTTAGTAAATAATATTATATTATAAAAATTATATTATAATAGGATAGTATTTTTAAAAATATACTACATTTTTTGTTGTTTGTGAATTAATTTTTTTGTTTGATTTAATTTGCAGAATGATTCAGGTGGCCCGGTTAAGTTTAACAATGTCTTGGTGGGTATTATTTCGTGGGGCAATGAATGCGCCAGGCCATTGTTCCCCGGCGTGTATGTGCGTGTGGGTAATTACCGGGATTGGATCAGGGTTAATACGGGCATTTAAGTAATTATATAGTTACATTAAGGTCACATATGTTCAAATTTATCTTTATTTTATTATATTTATAAAAATTATTGAGTGTTAAATTTAATCGCAATTAGTGTAAAGTATATACTTTACTTTAGTTTTTACTTTATTTTATGCAACTAAAATAATGTATATAATATTTAAAATAAATTTTGAAAATTTTGAAAACATTTTTATAATGGAATGATAACATAAAGCATAATGAAAAAAACTGTAATTTCATATACATTTACAATAATTGTTTTACTAAAAGTCTATTATTGTTACATTATGGTTTACATGAAAAATCTCATGTAATTATGACACTTTTGGCCATTATAAAATGCAACTTATATTTATTTATAATTAATCTCTGTATATAAATGAATGTTTAATAAACCACAATCTAAGTATCTTAATCTTAATATATATTAATTAGTTTTAACCAAATTTGACACCTAAATAAGCCACACTAAATTTCATGAATATTTTATATAATAATAATTATTATAATTTGATTATGCATTAGTTTTTAGCAATATAATTTAAATATTGTATTGCATATTATTAATTAAGATAATGAAATAATTAATTTTTACAAACATAATTAGAAATATTCAAATTGAACCAGGTGTAATATTCTATGAATAGATCAATACAATCATGTTGCACTTGAATAAAAATGGTACACTTTATAATCGCGATTTATTTCACCAGAAAAATTTTAACTAAACTTAAGTTAATAAAGTAAAAGCAATTTTATTACCAGGAATCAATATCAACATAATTATTATAAGTATGTGCTAAATACTTAAAAATATCAATATGGTTAAATGGGCATAGATATCTAATATGCCCATGATAATAAACACAGATAATACTTGTTAAAATTACTGCTTTATTATGCAAACCTTACACAGTAATAAAGTGTACATCAGATAATTCATCTGTATAAATATAAGTTAAACAATAAGTTAAACAATAAGCAAATAAAATAGCCATAATGAATTTAATTGTAATAGTAACTTGCATAATATTTAACACAGGTTTAAGCCTGTGTTTACCACGTTATACACCACACCGACACCATAATGAAACAGGTGGCGGTCCAGCAATTTTGCCCGACATGCAAATAGTCGGTGGAGATGACGCTCAGACCGGTGCCAATCCGCACATGTGTTCACTACAATACAATGGTAAGCACGGGTGCGGCGCCTCCATCATCAGCGCCCAGTGGGCCGTCACAGCCGCACATTGTGTGGACGGGTGAGTGTATTAAATCAATAATCATGGTTACAAATGCAAACTGTATTATTAATCATTAGCATAAAATCATAATAATAAATTAAGAATTTAACATGTTATTATGGTTTTTATGATTTGAACGGTTAAAACTACTTTATTATTAAACAACTGTATATTATATTGGTAATTGTTGTTACAACACTACAATTATAAATAATATTTTACATTGGCTTGTAAAGGCAACATGATTTAATACAATAATAATTAAAGGTTATTTTTAATAATTTCACTATCATAGCTCTGATCCGACCAAGTGGACATTACGCTGCGGTACGCTATTACACGCACAGGGAGGCAGCCATTTCCCAGTGACCGAGTTCGTAGTTCACCCCGATTACGATCACACCAATCAGGACAACGATATAGCTGTGTTGAAAGTGGGCAACGATATACCACTGGGCTCGGGTGATATGGACAAAATCAACCTGCCTGAACAGGACTCGGACATGGAGACAGGTGCCATGATCACCGTGGTCGGTTGGGGCTATTTGAAAGATGGCAGTGGCGTAAACTCGGACAATTTAAAAACAGTAGATGTGCCGGCTGTGTTGCGCAAAGACTGTCAGGATGATTACCTTATGCACGATATTACCGATAATATGAGTTGCGCTGGATTTGATGAGGGTGGTAAAGATGCGTGCACGGTAAATAAATTATATTATAGTAAAAAGTGTCGGTTGAGGGTTAATTGTATTTTATTAGTACAGGATTTTGTCAATATTTCATAAGACTTAGTATTATAATTTAAAAATTTGATTATTTTATATTACTGGCCGAGTAATGTTCTTTATTATTGAATAATAGTGAATATTTGTTTTATTTAATTTGAAATAATTAAATTAACTAATTACTTTAATTGATAACAATCATAAAATAATTTAACATAGTATAACTAATGCAACTGTAGTTTGATATTGATAGTTTATTTTAATAATCTAGAATGACTCGGGTGGTCCGGCTAAATACAATAACGTGTTGGTGGGTGTGGTGTCATGGGGTGGTGGGTGTGCAGTGGCCCATCAGCCCGGGGTTTATACACGGGTAGGCAAATATCGGCAATGGATTCAGGAGCAAACTGGTGTATAGACTTATAATTTATACTATTAATCAATATTTTTATCATTAATAAAAATTCGTTTATAACAAATAAGCATTGTAAGAATTTTTAATATAATTTAATTAAATTATAATGTTGTATTGCATATATTTATTAAAAAACAAAAGGGCTATTTTGATCTTGACAATAATCTTCAATATTGGTAAATCTTAATTAAGTTAAAATGGTTTTTGTTATCTTTTTTGCCATAAATAATATACGGATTTAAGGAATGCACTATTAATTGCTTACAAAAATTTTAATTACAGTCTTTTTAAAAAATACTAGATTAAATATTAAACATTTTTATACAGTCTGCACCGCATTTATCGGTCCCACATATAACGTAAAACCGCCTATAACCGAATATTTTTGCTGCACCGGCAGCTCCTATGGTTGTATAATGATAAGTGCACCACTAATAGCAGAATCGGTTATAACGGAATACCGCATTTAACAGACAGTAAGCTAATGCCGTGCAATGTTAAACAAGTCCACATATAACGGAAAAGGGTTATACATAAATATAGTTATGGTTAAAACTATTTATTACCGTATTTTTAATAACCTTTTTGATGAAATAATTTGTAGTGTTTTTTAAATAAGTGTTTTAACAACAAAACGTTACTTCTATCATGTTTTTACACATAAATACAGCACTATCTTTGTAAAGTATGTTAAAATAAGCGCCTTTTTTGGCAAAATGTTCAAAAATCTATTACCGGGAATAACAGAAACCGGCTATAACAGAATAGAATTAAACTCACCGAGCGATTCTGTTAAATGCGGTGCAGACTGTATTTATATTCAATAACATTGGACATTTCTAACGTAGGGCAAAGTATTGTAGTATGTTAAATTTAACTTTGTTGATTAAAAAGTACTATTAAGATAGTTTACTAAATTATTGAATTTTTTATAAAGATTTATGTCAAATTCCAGGTAATCTAAATAATTACAAGTCTTTTAATGACCATGTTTAATTAAACCTTAATGATTTATAAAATAATATATATTAATTTCAGCAAAAGAACAGTTCATCTTTATTAATTGTATCATGCTAAATCCAGGATCATAATTCACTTGTTTTTTAAACTATAATTTAACTTAAAATTGTGATAAATGAATAGCCAATTATTATTTTCTATATGTAAATCTAAAACATGTTTTATGGTTGGAATAATAACATAAAGCATAATAATACAAACTGTAATTTCATTTACATTTACAATAATTGGTTTACTAAAAATGTTTTACTATTGCATTATGGGTATGAAGTGTTCAAAGCCAAAATAATTTTCAAACATTTAATTAACTATTCTTACTATTTACAAACTGTAAATTGGTATATATAATACATAAAACATCAGTGTTATTTAATTTTAGATTTATTTTTGGGAATTGTGTCTCAGTTTAAATACCTATTTAAATGATTACACTTTTAATAATAATACACAAACAACAACTAAATTGTTAACAAAATTAAATTTTAAATATTATAACAATTTTATTAATATGAATTTAAAAATTTTATTTAATTTATTGTTATACTAAAATACAAATATTATATATTGTCTGGGTTGTTATGGACGCACAACAATTCATATACCTATTTATTATCATTAAATATACAGCACTTTTTGCGATATACTGTATCTGTAATAATGATATGATTGTCTGTATTTCAACATAACTAGTGAAGAGTGAATATAACCGTAACGTTAATTAAAGCACAATAACTATTTGTTTTTATTACAAACATACGTATAATGTATTAAATTGCATACGAAATAATTTGTGGTAAAATAGTTTTAATTTTTAAAATATTTTATATATAAATAGTAAGTAAATGTTTAATTATTAAAAATATTTGTTTAACATTATACGAAATTGTTTATATATTTTTATTTTATCGTAATAGTTGTAATTATTGATACAATACGTATAATAGTGATCTAGTTGTGATATATGTGCTATTTTCACTATTAAACCGGGCTTTGTATGATATATACAACAATAGGTGTCCATTGAATTAACAGGTAAACAATAATGTTAAAATATTTTATTCATCTGTAACCACCCTTCCGCTTTCATGTAGCACTTATTGATTAGATACCATGTGCTCTCTCTCTCTCTCTCTCTCTCTCTCTCTC